GAGAGAGAGAGAGAGAGAGAGAGAGAGAGAGAGAGAGAGAGAGAATAGATTGAGATATAAAACCAATCGATTGACGAATTACTAAAATATTTTATTTTTGATTCATAAGCAAAAGGAAATTTATAGTAAAAATATTTTTGAGACCAATTTTTCTTCGTTAAAAGCGATCGAAAATATTTTTCATCAAAGCATTTGACTTGAGATATAAATTTACTAAAACTTTCAGTGCTTTTATATTTGCTATCAAAACCATCAAAAATGTTCAATAAATTCATTTCAATTTTCTTAAATGATTTATAACTTTGATTATATGTTTAGTTTTGGTTTCAGAATAATGTTATGATATATAAAACACAAAAGCGATAACAAATGATTAAATATTAGTTATTTATCCAAATAATTATTATTAACAAAATACTTATTGCTAACTAAATGGGTATCGATTTGCTAGTAATTGCTATCCATTTAACATAATTTTGATTTTAATATTCAATTCTATACTTCTGTACAGAAGTTATCTCTTTATGTCAAAAGCAAACGAAAAATAAATATAAAAATAAAACTGATCTCAAAATCTGAAAACCGATAAAATGGTTGTAATAAATGTTTTCAAGAGAAATATATTCCAGAAATTAATTAAAATTTTATTAAATGATAAGACAATTACTGATCGTTGATATTGTTATTATATGTTCGCCGAAATTATATGTATTTGTGATAAAATACATTCAATTGGAGGCCTTGAAGGCATTGGAAATACAAAAAAAAATATTTAAGTAATAAAAAATAATTTAAATTTTAAAATGAGATTAAATCCTGGATTTTTTGAAGAGGCGTTCAGAAAATGAATTGAATATTTTGAGATAAAATGACTTTCAATGCTTTAATGCAAACACACACTATATTTTACTGTATTAAACGGTTTAAATAAAAAAGTAAATAAATGAAAAAATATCGAAAACAAGCCTCAAATGGAAATTATGGACAAAAAAATATAATCTCACAGAAAATATTGTTTAAAAAGCATTGAATTGAACGGAGAGTGAGAGAAGTGCGAGAAAATTGTGAAAAACGTGGAAAAGATATTTTGAAACTCAAAATTGGGTCAAATCATAGACTAATCAATAAAGAGTCGGATGTATACGATATATACAAAGAGTAGAGCCAAACACTCTCTCACTCTTTCAGCGATAAAAAGGGACGACTGTTTGGGTTGAAGTATCTCTTGATATAACACTTTAGACTAATTTTAAAAAATAGATTCTTTAGCTAAACATAAACCTACTCTTTAAGACTCACACATAGACACAGAATCTGTATATTCCGTACATTCCGCTCATGTGTACAGAATATTCTGCAACAGAATTGGATTTTCTTTCGCTATTTTTGAACACTTAATGCAAAACAATAAGAAAATAAATGAAAATTTCTTTTACGCTCTCATCTCATAATCCAAACGTCAAAAGCGTTTAAATTATAAATTAGTTTAGTTTTAAAGTAAATATTTTATATTAAATAAAAGGAATTTGTTGTAAAAATGATATTAAATAAGACGTGAGTCTAAACTTACAGTTAATTACTGTTGCGATCAATACGTTAGCAAAGAGGATGAAGGAGAAGGAGATGATGACGAGGAGAATGCAGTTGTTTTGTTGTAACCAACAAAAAATTTTGATGAAAAAGTCATTGAATTTGAAGAATGTATTGAATGTGAAGACTAAGGGATGAGAGACTCCTGTATTGAGAGAACAGTCTATTCTTCCTTTAGATTAGATACTTCTTCTCTCAATCTCTTTCTCACTCTTCCAACAGATCTTATCAAACGTTACAATCGTTTTTGTGAAACAATTTCTGTGTTTGTGCTGAGAGTGCGAAACGATAGCTACTTATATAACAATCCAAACAATTGAAAGTTTATATTAAATTACAAAATATATTACATATAATAAGACAATAAACTCGACACAAATGGATTTTCACGTTAAATATTAACAGTATTTCCACACAATGTTTAAAACATGAAATTTAACAATAAATTTCATTTACTGATCAAACATAAAAAAGCGATCAACAAAAACAGTGTATATAATAAATAAATACTAAGAGAGTTTACATTTTTGTCATATAAAACACAAATTCACATAATATTTGCGTTGAATTATTAAACACTCATTTGACTAACAAAAAGGCAAATACGGATTTCAAAAGCATATTCTCTGTGAGAGATAATGAAAAGTTTGAAACAAAAAATTACTGTTCAATCATATGGAGAGATGGATGTGTTGAATGCTGTGCTCTAATCGTATAATGAATAACAGCACACAAAGTCATAGACAGCACTACAGAGTTGTGTCCGTATGTGTTGTGAACACAACGATGTGAAACACAGCTGCCGATAGACGAGAGCCTATTGTATGAACTGAACCCACATTTCATACATACATAGAGTAGTGAGAGAGAAGTGAGTGTATGTTGTGTTGTGTTGTCTCTGTTTTAACAGTTTAGTGCAATTCCTCTCTCCCTCTCTCACTCTCGCACACAACCACTCGTTTACTATGAAATCAAACCGAAAACTACTCTAGAATTACAACTTGTTTGGTGCCCAACACCAGACACCAGTCCCAACCCATGGCCTACCATCTGTCACCATGACAACCCACTTCACCAGTCTCTCTCTCTCTCTCTCTCTTTCGTCCGATTCTGTCATAAGTTTGTGAGTTATAACGAAAACCAATCATTAATTTATATAAAAAATATTACAAATTTATGCAAAAAAGAATTAAAACAAGTTTTCGATAATGCACTAAACTGTTAAAACAGAGACAACACAACACAACATACACTCACTTCTCTCTCTCTCTCTCCATCTGACTCTCTTTATCCATACATAACACAGAATGCAAACACATTTACATTAAAATTTCTTTCTTTTCTCCTTTGATACCATTATTTTGTTTTATTATAATTTATCGAAAACTTGTTTTAATTCTTTTTTGCATAAATTTGTAATATTTTTTATATAAATTAATGATTGGTTTTCGTTATAACTCACAAACTTATGACAGAATCGGACGAAACAGAAGAGAAAAAATATAAGACAATAATAATAAGAAAAAGTAATCAGAAAATTGAAGTTTCATTGAAGGCTTTGATTGAAAGTAATATTTACTTTCGTTAACTATTTCCGCGTCAATGCTTTTGGCGACTGAAGAATATATACACAAAATATATTGTATAATAAAAATGAAGACTAAATTCTCTTACAGTATATTATATACACTTATTGTTAACTACAATAACTGCAAAGAGTAAAGAATACCCGAGTTTTTGGGGGATTTGTTTTATGCGAGACATTAGTGAATGGAAATGGTTTGGAGGAAAAATTCTAAGCATTTCCTCTCTCTCTCTCTCTCTCTCTCTCTCTCTCTCTCTCTCTCTCGCCTTTTTATTGATAATTCAATAAATAAAAGACTTTTTATCTATCCTATGATATATAAAGTTAAATGACTTACTGTTAAACAATTTTATTTTTATTTCACTCCGGAGTATGGATTTGAATATAATATTGACTGAAAGTAAAATATTTTTTATAACTTTTAGTATAATAGAGCGATATTTCACTTTATGATCGGTTATGTATTGAATTTTTATATATAAACACGAAATAATAAGTGCAAAGTTTTCTTATAAACGGAAAAACTTTTTATATTTAATATTAATGTCGATAAACGCAAAGTAAATATAAAATTTTACACATATTTACTATCGATAACTGACTTTAAAAGTGTTTAACACATACATCGCTGATAACCTCTCAAATATCTGCGATATTATATAATAGATTACAAACACTTATATAATACCGATGCAAATAACACCTAAATATACAGACCATATGCCGGTGTGTTTGTGTGCGGCTGACTATCACTGGTGGCAAAATTCAAATACACTGCCAATCATTGAATGGGGAGAAAGTATTAGCACTTCTTTATTCGTATATTACATGAATTCAATGAACACTAGACTAAAAAAGTTTATAAATTGCATAAGTTTTTAGAGAGCAGCTGCTCTTTGCACAGGACTTCCCCTTCAACTCTATCTAATAAAATATGTGTCCCATTATTGACAACAAAACACATAGAAATTTATGAGTTTTAATTTA